GTTTAGCCATTTTTGGTGAGTCAACCCCTTCATCCCAGGAATCAGCCAAATGAATCTCTTTTGAACTGCCTCCAAGGCCAGGACATCCTATCTAAAACATGGGGATCAAAACTGCACACAGTACTCCAGGTTTGGCCTCATCAATACACTATACAGTTGCAAGATGACTTTATTTTTGAACTCCACCCCCCCAGCAATAAAAGCCAAAACTCCATTTGCCTTTTTAATTACTTGCTGCAATCTGCACATGAGCATCTTGTGTTTCATGCATAAGAACACCCATTTTCTTCTGCATTACACTTTTTTTGTAGTCTCACCATTTTAATACATTACACTCTGCCTCCTCATCCAAGTCATTAATATAGATGTTAAATAATTAAGGCTCTAGGACTGATTCTTCTGGCAATCTACTGCTTATATCTTTCCAACCTGAAAAAGACCCATTAATCCTCACTCTATCATATGTGTGTTAACCAATCCCCAATCAATGATGACACATTAACCACAATGTAAGCTCAGATTTTATGTAATTCCCTTTTATGTGCTGCCTTATTCAATGCCATCTGGAAATCAAAGTGTATTATATCTACTGATTTCTCTTTATCAACTCTGGTCATTATATCCTCAAAGAACTTTAACAAATTTGTCAAACATGATTTCCTCTTCACAAAACTATGTTTCTGATTGTGTTAAGATTTTATATATGCCCTGGTATTTCTTCTTTATTAAATGGGGCGAAAGCTTTTCTCCTCCTAGCAACAGATATTTCACTAACAAGCAGCCATCTCCTTCAAAGTGCCTGGATGCAGACCATCAGTTCCTTCCATGATTATCTCCTTCAGTCCATTCATTGTCAAATACTTTGCTCCTCATGACAGACTGTTTCAAGACCTCCAATTAGCATATTGTTTATCTGATATATTTTGGATGTTTACAGTCTTTTCTACCATGGAGGATGACGCAAAATATTGGTTTATACTATGTCATTTCCCCACTTTCAATTCTCTGTCACATCCTCAAATGACCCCACACTCACTTATCCTCTTGTTTATATCCCTGAATATAATGCTGTTTGCTTTTATATTTCTTGCTAATTTACTCTCATCATCGGTTTTCCCTTTTTATTAGCTTTTCAAGCATCTGCCACTTGTTTGTAAAACGTTCCAATCTTCTGGCCTACCACTAGCTTTCACCATCTGCCATCTTTTGATCGGATACTCTGCTTCACCGCCTCTGTTAACCACAGGTCGTTCATCTTTCTCATTTGAGCCTTTCTTTTTGACTGGAGTACATTCTACTGAGTGTTATGAAATATAGCTTAAACATCAGAAACTAATCACCTCTGGAGCTTCCCCAGTCTATTTCCTTAGCCTCTTTAGACAACTTTGTTTTCATGCCTCTGTAACTGCTCTTATTTGAGGATTACTCATTTGAAACCCAAACTGCTTTCCCTCAAGCTGATTTTGAAATTCTACCATGCTGTGACTGCTACCCCTAGAAGGTCCTTAACTATGAGATCTCCTATTAATTCTATTTCATTGCACATTGCTAAATATAAAATAGCTTGTTCCCAAGTAGGTTACTGCTCTAAGAAACAATCCCTGATGCACTCTACAAATTCAACTTCCTTGTTACCTTTGCCCATATGATTTGTGCAGTCAACATGCAGATTAAGATCACCCATAATAACATGAACATTCTTCTCTTACGCCTCCATTATTTCTTGATTTATTCTTTGTCCTACAATGAGGTAAATTGTTGGAGGATTACGGACCACTTCCACCATGATTTCTTTCACTTCCTGTTCCTTACTTCTATCCAAACTGATTTCACATTACAATCTACTGCAACCACTACTCACCACCACAGTGATAATAATGCTACCCCTCCACCTTTTCTGTTTTACCTATTCTTCTAGATGTTGAATAAATACCTCTGAATATTGAGGTCCCAGTCCTAGTCACCCTGCAACCATGTCTCTGTAATAGCTACGAAGTCATATTCATTTATTTCTAATTGCACCATCAACACATTCAACTCGCTACAAATGCTGTATATGTTCAGATAAACAGCCTCAAGCTTTGACTTTATATCGTTACTACTTATTCTAGTTCCATATTCTGTTGTATTTTTCTGCAGATATTTTGTCCCTTCTGGTCACATTTTGATTATCGTTCATCTCATCACTCCACTGCATCCTTGCTTTTTTTTAAAATAAAACTTTGCTTCAATTGAACTCTCTGCTCCACTGATTATTTTAAAGCTGTATTTACAGTCCTAGTTCTGTGATTATCCAGAAAACTGGATCCAGCTTAGTCCAAATGAAGCCAGCCTGGACGAACCCGTTGTCTCTTTTCCCAGTACTGGTTCCAGTGCCTCTTGAATTGGAACACATTTCTGGTCAGGCAATTCTTTGAGCCATGTATTTACCTCTCTCATATTAATTATTCTACATCAATTTGCATGTGGCTTTGATAGTATTCCTGGAGTTTATGGCCTTTGTGGTTTTGCTTTATAATTTTGTCTCCAGCTGCTTGTAATCCCTCAACAGAACTTCTTCCTTAGCTCTACCTGTGTATTTGGTACCTGGGTGTACCATAAGAATTGGATCCTTCCCCTCCCACTGCCAGTTTCTCTTCAGCCCAAAAGTGATGCCCTGAACCTTGGCACCAGGTAGGCAACAGAGTCTTCTGGACTCTTTCTTTGCTGCAAAAACAAAACAGCATCTATTCCCTTAATTGTACTATTATCTATTAAAACAACATTTTTCTTTTCAGCCCTGACTTAAATGTGCTCAGCTTGGCCATCCTCCCTGCAATATGTGTCCCACGCCATGTGAAAGAACCTTGTACCTACTGGACAAGGGCACCGGTGCAGGCACTTCCAAAGCTAAATTAGGGATTCCAATACATGTCACACTCAAGTTTCACACTCTCCTGACCCTAACTATATGCTAAATTAATCCAAGGAGAGTGACTGTCTCCTGAAACACGGTATTCAGTTACATTTTCGCTCACACTCTCCATGTGGTGTGGCAATGCCCACAGCTTGGACTCCAGCTCATCAACTCTGAGCTGATTTCCTCGAGCAGTCACCACTTGATGTTTTGTTCACTGTAGCTCGCAACTACATTAATTCACTCCCACATATTAGTGGCAACTCGTGGCTTGCCCAGCTTTTTCCATTCTATTTAAAATATTTAATATCCAAATTAATTAAAAGTTAATTTCCCAAGCATACTCTTCATGTGTAAAAAGTCTCCTGATTTAACCCAATTGATCAATCAAAAGGGATACAGAAGAAACAATCACCAATCACCCATTTTCATAAGACATCACAATATAGCCCCAACAGCCACAAACAGGTTCAGGGGGCTCTCCACTTCCAGTTTCTAATATCTTCCCCAGCCCCACCTCCACTGTTGACCTTCGCAGGGGTTCTCAAGATGCTCAATATGAATTATTTTTCCATGCGCAGTCACTTTTTTGTGGACAAATGCACCTCCCACTTTGCAGGCAGTAATAAGGCAAATGATCAGTAAATCTTTTCCTTTGCAATGTTAATGAGGGAAAGATGTTATCTAGGGTGGGGGGGAGTGGGAGAATTTCCTACAATTTGTGCTATGAGTTAGCTGAACAGATAGATGAGATCTTGGTTTAAAAGACTCATCGGAACAATAGCACTTCCAACAATGCAGCACTGGACTGTCATCTTAGATTATATGCTCAGTTCCTTGTAACTTTCAGAGTCCAATTTGAAAGTAAACCAAGCTGATACTAGCAATATCTCATCCAGCTTGGCAGCAAATGTTCTTAGAGACAGGAAGGCAGTCAAAACACCCCAAAAGTGGATAAATAGATACAACCGCATCAACTAAATTAGATAGATGCTGACTGATTAATGAAGAGAATTCCATTATTTGGGTGAAAGCACTGGCCATCATTAACAACATCCAGGGGAATAAGTATCATTGGGTACCATCACCACTTATAGAGAGAGAAGTACAGTAGGCGGTGTATTGGTGCTTAAAAATTTAAAATATAAAGCAGCTAAATTAATCTTCAGGACACCTGCTTACTTGGAGGAAAACTTGTTTTTTAAATTGCTGCCTAGAGGGATAGAAAGGACTCACAAGAACATCCTTCAGCTGGTCTAAAAGGAAATTATGAAGATTGCAGATAAATTCACCTGTGCACTTGAGAAGCATCACATCAGAAGCTGAAATCTAAATAATGCTATGTTTGTTGTTTTCAATGGAGCAAAGCCAAAGAAAAGATTGGCTTAGCTGAAGCAGAAGCTGATCAGAGTACTAACAAGCAATTTTGTCCTAAACTAAAGTTCAACCCCTTCTCCAAAAATTAAGGAGGAACAATCAACTCAAGAGTTTCAAGAATGATAGGAGGATGTAGGCTTGTCCTGACCAGGATATTTCAGCAGTGTGGTTTATTTCACTTTGTTTTCACTATTAATTCAAGGCTGCTAAGTTTGACTTGGGAAAGGATTTAGTATTTAACGTGCGAGCTGGAGACACATTCGTGTCCATGTCTGACATATAACAGATCACCTTCCTTGCACTAATTCTCATATTTAAAATCAATAATTCAGTATACCTCAAAGTCCAAGAATAGGAGAGAATGTTCTATGTGATGGATTAGATTAAAACAAATGGAATGCTAAAGACTCAAAACAAAATAATCAAGCTATTCCACATACTGCTATCCTTAATAGTTCTCCCTCCAAGAGGGGCAGAAAATCACATGCAGTTTCTTTTCAGGGGATGGGGCGTCGGAATTTAACTGACCTGATTATAGATAGACTGAAAAACAAAATGGTATTTGCCAGAATCATAACTGAATTGAACAAACTAGTATACACTGGGATTAACAGTTCTATTTTGAGAGCATATTTATTAGAAAAATTATGAATGGCCATTGCAGACAAACAGGACTTCATTGCTCCATCTTTACATTAAAGCCATACAAAATAATGTAAGTACTCACGTGTAAAAGGGTCATCAATTAAAAGAGCTTCCTCAGCCTCTGAAAGTAAGCAAACAATTCTTACATTATACTAAAGTATCTGACAGTTTATTGGTTAAGACATGGCTGAAAGTTCACTCATCATTCAAATATGTAACGTTAAAATCTTAAAGGTGGCGTGTAAGGAGAGATTTCCAGACAGTAGGACCAAAGCCACTCCAGCTTTCACTACCATGGCATGGTATAGTGAGGGGTGATGCATTAAATGTCAGAGTTGTAGGACTGAAATTTGGAAAAGGAAGAAAGATTGGAGAAGGTGGCAAGATTAGTATGGGAGGGAACCACATGGAGAAATTGTGGAGTTTAAAATCAGGCCTGGTTTAATTAGAAATCAATACAAGTTAATAACCAAAATTGGCGATAGGTGGATTAGTTAAGAGAGAGACAAATTTTCAAAAAATGCTGAAGACGACTGTGTACGTTGGTGTGCAAGGCAAGGTGGGATGGGGATTTCCATTCAGAAGACATTAGTTAACTCATGCAACATTTAAGAGAAACTGAGGTTAAGGAGGGCAATAATAACAAAAGATGAGGCATCAGCAATACAGGTGAAAGTCAGTGGCGCTGAAAGTGGATAGCATTAGATTTGAGCTCTGGGATGAAGAGGATGCCATGGCTTTACATGCTTAAACAGATGTTTGGGTAGCAAAAATTTTGTTTTGAATTCCTGGTTTTCAATTAAAGCAAACTTTGCCATAACTATAACGTGTCTCAAATACACTCAATGACTTGGCCTCCGCAGTCCTCAATGGCAATGAGTTCCACAGATTAACAACCCTCTGGTTGAAGAAACTCCTCCTCATCTCAGTTCTAAAGGGTTATCTCTTCACTCTGAGGCTGTGCCCTCGGATCCTAGTCTCTCCTAATAATGGAGACATCTTCTCCACATCCACTCTATCTAGGCCTTTCAGTATTAGAATTAGAATCCTCAGTGTGGAAACAGATCATTCGGCCCAACAAGTCCACAATGACCCATGCCCCTACTCCATCCCTGCAATCCCCCACAGCCAACACACAACCCTGAACACTATGGGTAACTTAGCATGGCCAATCCATGTAACTTGCACATCTTTGGACTGTGGGAAGAAACAGGAGAACCCGGCAGAAACCCACACAGACACAGGGAGAATGTGTAAACTCCACACAGACAGTCGCCCGAGGGTGGAATCGAACCCGGGTCCCTGGCGCTGCGAGACAGCAGTGCTAACCACTGAGACCCCGTGCCTCCCTGTTCTGTAAGTTTCAATGAGAGCCCCCTCATCTTTCTAAACTCCAATGAATATAAACCCAGAGTCTTCAAGCGCTCCTCAAACAACAAGCCCTTCACCCCCAGGATCATTCTTGTAAACCTCCTCTGGACCAACAGGTCCTTCCTTAGTCAGGGGACCCAACACTGGAACCCCTCCAATGCCAGCATTCCTTGGACACTGGGCTCAAAACAACTCTCAATATTCCAAATGTAGTTTAATCAGTGCCTCATACAGCCTCAGCAGTACATCCCTGCTCTCGTTTTCTAGCCCTTTTGAAATGAATACTAACATATCATTTGCGTTTCTAACTGCTAACTGAACCTGCATGTTAATCTTAATCTGAACTAGGACTCCCAAGTCTCTATGTGCTTCAGATTTCTGAAGCCTTTCCTAGTTTAGAAAATAGCCTACACCTCTATTCTTCCTATCAAAGTGCATAACCTCACACGCTCCCACATTGTATTCCTTCTGCCACTTCTTTGCCCACTCTTCTAGCCTAAGTCATTTAGCCGCCTCCATGCTTCCTCAAAACTATCTTTGCATCATCTGCAAACTGAGCAACAGATCGTTAAAGTATAACATGAAGAGTTTTGGTCTCTACAAAACTCCACTGTGGAACTCCAGTAGTCACCAGCTGCCATCTTGAAAAATACCCCTTTACTCTTACACTCTGCCTTCTACCAGTCAGCCAATCCTGTCTGCATGCCAATACCTTGCTGCTAACCCTTCTAAACCCTATGATTAGACAAGATAAGGTAAAGATTCCTTCAAACCATGTATAATTCTGCAGTATACACAAAGGCAAACTTCACTTGGGCTACTGCCAGAATCAGACCATTGATGCTCAAAATGCGATTAAGCCTGAGAGTTTTATCTTTGTATTTCCCTCCCCTTTTTCTTATATTGAAGAATTAACTTATGATCAGCATTTGTTAACTATAGCTGAAACCATACAAGAACTGCAGATCCAAAAACATATTTATATCATTATACATCAAACACATTATACTGCAGCACACCACATTATGATACTAACACTAAATCATTATTCTATTTAATTAACTCACATTCAAATTGGTTATATAGGAAAACAATTGTATTAGTAGATAAGAAAATAGTTATAGAAAGCAGAGTAAGATTAGAGTTATTAAAATACACACCCATTTCCCATTATAAGTATTAATGTCTGGCATTATCCCAGATTCAAAGTGTTGGAGCTGCTGCTCCTTGTACCTTGTATAATCTGAAACTGGTTATTAATGGGGATCACTGTCTGACATGCGATAGTTCCAACATTAGCTTCCGAAGTTGCAGAGATGAACAATCTGCAATAAGAAAACAAACTGACTTTATCAAATTTACTGCTGAGTAATTACAACAAGTTTGTAAAAGTTTCACAATGCTGAAGTGCAAAACAGGAAACTGTCGTAAATTTCAGCAAAGGATGAAGGGTGCAGGCTAGGTGGGTTAGCCATGGGAAATGTAGGGTTACAGGGATAGGGTGGGTCTGGGCGGGATGCTCTTCAGAGATTTGGTATGGACTCGATGGGTTAAATGTCCAGCCTCCACACTGTAGGGATTCTACAATAGAGAAACTCGGCAGGTCCAGCAGCATATGTGGAGAGTCAAAGAGAGCTAATGTTTCAGGCCTGTAACATTTCCTTCATTTAATGAAACATAACTCTGGAGAGAACGTAAAACTCTTCCAAGGTTGTCTGGGACGGATCGGTAGAGGATGAGGATATTATAATGAGACAGGAATCACAAGGAGAACTCACTGCCTTCCCAACTAGCCCAACTAAGTCAGGGCTGAGAATGGTGTTCCTGCCTGAAGAACAATTGAGGCTTTTAAGTATCTCTTAAAACGCATCTCACCCCATCATTGCTGAATTCGAGTAGCACTAAGGGAAGGTTCTTTTCAAGGGGGAGTGCTGGCAGTTAAATTCTGAAAAGTATCTAGGGACCACCATAACAAGTTTCCTCACATGGAAGGACATCTTCCCACTTTTTAAACTCGCACACCTTGTTGCAGCCTCCTTTCTTGACCCCAGGACCTCACTGATTATCATAGCTGCCTTTATTGGAAAGCTCCCAACCCTGATGTACATAGCAACTCTCAAAGGCTAGACCTGCCCAGAAGATGCCATGGACCCAGTTGCCAACCAGATAAGTGTTTGGCTGCATTAAAATCAGATCTGGGCGATCCCAGAGTGGTTGTGATAGAGTTGCCGCCGGCTTTCCAGTCAGTGGATAGGCCCAGCTCTGACGCGGGAACAAGATCAGTGTATAGCTAGTGTTAAAGGATTAACAATGAAAGAATGGAAAAGTACCAGGCAGTTAAACAAGGACAAGGGCAAAAGGAGACTATTGATGACTGAAAGGATTTTGGCATATAACACACAGCAGGAACCAGCATAAGATAAGGGTGTTGGGGAGGGATAAAGTTAAAGAACACGTGCTATAACCTAAAGATAACAAATGCTACCTGCATACAACAAACATGTACATGTGCACAAGTTGCAATTGGTCAAGAACATGCCTATGCCTTTTTAATTCTTTTTCTATTCATTTGTGGGATGTGGGCGTCGCTGGCTGGCCAGCATTCCTTGCCCATCCCTAGTTGCCCTTAAGAAGGTGGTGGTGAGCTGCCTTCTTGAACCGCTGCAGTCCTCCTGCTGTGGGTTGACCCACAATGCTATTAGGGATAGAATTCTCTAATTCTATGAGAGGGAGTTTCAATTTTAATTTGGCAAATGAATAAGTACGCATTGTGATGTGGTTAGCATACAACATAATGAGCTCAAGTTGACTGAAATGTACATAAGTACTTGCAACGTTTGTTTCGTCACAAATGCCTTCTGGTACTGCAGTTCAGTCTGTCTCCCGCATTGGTATAACAATGGCTGCTTTAAATACTGACCAGAACTTCATGCATGGATGCTGTGAGACCAACTGTTCATTTCCAACATTTTCTGTTATTACCTCTGATTTTCAAAAACCATAATAGATTACTTTTGTCGGGTTACTTCCATACAATATAAAAGGAAGATGACACCCCCCCCCCCACCTCCACCAATAAAACCCACCCTGGGCTTTTTTGGTGGAAGTGAAATAAGAAACCATGGCACAGCTATACTGAACCACAGTCTTAAATAAAAGTTGTAAGTAGTGCAACCTCTTGTAATGTGGTATATACTTTAACTTCCACTAGCGAGCCATGTATTTGCTATTGTACAATTAGTTTTGCCCTTGATCAGTGGATTCAAGCTTAAGCTGATTAAGCAATCATTCATTTGTTGTTATCCACAGGAGGGCAGCTTATCGCTCTATACTGACATTGTACTTCACATGCCAAATACTCAACATCCAAAGCAGATTAATTTTTCACAACTTAAGGGTGGAGCTCAATCTCAAGGAGGACAGAAGAAATACTTTAAGGATTATCTGGAGATCCCAAGGTCGCAAAGCAGGTGGAAACTGACCACATTTTAAAAAGCTCAGTAGCGAAGCAATGACAATAATAGGAACGACAGTGTGGACAGGCTTGAAATATCACGCTACCTTCTTCAGGGCAATTTCTCCCCCCTGTGCCAAAGGCATGCAGATCCAGGACTGGCAAACTGAGTCGCATTAAGAGGCACAAATTACGAAACTTGGCATATGCTAACCTTGTTACAAAGGTCTGACAACTACAAAGTGAAACAATTAATTCCACATGGAGCATTCTGAAATGCTCACAACGAATGAGCAGGAGCTCCAGAAATACATTCATTGATTTATTTCTTGTAAAACATTCACAAGCATCTTTTAACTCCACCCATTACATGTAAAGTTTGAAATTATTTACCTCCCAGGCCTTCAACAATTTGCCATTAGATAACCTATTCCATAGTCAACTACCGTGAGTGGCTAAATATCATTACCAGCAGTTCAATTTCTTAATGTCCAGCCATTATATGATTTTTAATAACCATATAGTTTTAAATGAGTGTTCACTCCCTATATTCTGTTATCTCCAAACCAATTGGAATCATAGAATCAGCCTTATGGTATTTTATATATGGGCTTCAAAATTACTAACTTTACAACCAAAAAGCTTAAAAAAATGAAATTGGTTTCACCACTATTAAGGAATTCAAATGAACTTTAGTAATGGACTGGCCATTGAAAGGTTTTCTGACCATGGACAGGTGGCTTTGAAGTATATATCAATTCAAATGGTCTGGAAGTTTTGTTCCATCCTTTGGCATTACCAATAATGGATATTTTATTTCTTCCAGAAAGAATATGTTGGCTTTCAGGTTCAGGTATTATTCAAAAGAAAGTACCTCCAATAATGCAATTCACATTATTAAAATGAAGAGCCAGTCTAGGTTATGCAATCAGGTCTCTAGTTTATGGCATAAAATACAAGGTTAAAGTGCTACCGCTGACTCCAGTATAGCATCAATTATTTATAGTTAATTAGAAAAACAGACAATTCCTGAAGCAGTGGAATAGAGATGCATGGAGCACTACTGAACAGGCAGAGACACAAAGGAATACAAAACTAATGTGATGCAGCACAACAGGTGAAAAGGATCTAACTAGATTAGTTATTGCAAGGTTGATTACTCTACACAGATTTCATAGAATTTCCCCATTGTGGAAGCAGGCCATTTGGCCCATCGAATCTACACGGACCCTCCAAACAGCATCCTACCCAGACCCACCCCCTTACCGTATTCCCGTAACCCTGCATTTCCCATGGCTAATCTACTTAGCCTGCTCACTCCTGGACCCTATGGGACAATTCAGCATGGCCAATCCACCTAATCTGCATGACTTTGGACTGTGGTAGGAAACTGGAGCAAACTCAAGCGAACACAGGGACAACGCGCAAACTCCACACGAGTCTGGGATCGAACCTGGGTCCCTGCGGCTGGGAGACAGCAGTGCTAAAACAACTGCGCCACCATCCACTGAGGTACCATACAGCCCCAAAAAAAGTGTTCTTCACCGTCAAACATAAAGCATTTCCTTATGACTTGGTTGCTGTACTTCTTAATAATAAAAACAAAATACCATGGATGCTGGAGATCTGAAATAAAAATGAAGAGCTGGACAAACTCATCAGGTCTGCCAATATCTGTGGAGAGCAAGAAATAGTTACTATTTGCCTAATATGACTCCTTTCTCTGAAGATACTACCAAACCTGCTGAATTCTCCATTATTTTTGCTTTATTTCTTATGAATCTATTCAAAATCAAAGCTTCACATTTATCTTAATGTTGTTAAATGCAGACCAAATGTTAACTCACATCCAACAGAGTTACAGAGCTGTCCGTCAAATAGATAATGAATTGCAGACCAATCTTTGCTGCAGACCTGACTCAAGTCTTTCTCAAATTCCTCGGACAAGTGAATTCAAAATAGAATCTGCTTTCACGAACTCAGCTGTTTGCACTCGAAACATACCAAGCTAACCAAATTGAATATAAACATAAAAACAAATGACAAAGTATTTTAAAAAAAGGAGATTTCAAATAACTTTTGTATACCATCCACATTCTTTTCAATCTCTTAGATTAAGGAAGCAAACAAGAAGAATGTATGGCCAAACTAGGATATGAAAATAAATGTTTTCTACTCATTTCACATTAGTAATATAGAACATTAGACCACTTCATATGAGATCTCAGTTTACTGTTGGAATCTGCTACCTATCTAAAATGAGATTCCTTTGACTAAATACAAAGTATAACACTGACTTTCTGGGAATCTCAAGTCAAAGTTTAGGTCTTCACTGATCAGGAAAGGGATGCACGAAACCAAACTAAAAAAAGAACTTAAATTTACACAGCATGGTATGGTTGAAGTTTAAATCAGCTGAGATGGACAGTTAACAGTTCATGCTGCATCTCTATGCCATTCAACGAGCACCCTCTTTTCATACTGCGCAAATATATTTGAAAAATTAAGAATTAAACAAGTGTTCACCAGTTTCAATCTGACCACATAATAAAAAGGCCTGCAACTGATCTTTGATAGGTATATTACATCCAAAAATACGATGTTTCAGGGGGTCAACTGCCTACACCATAGCTAATTTTCAAGTAAGACTGTCCTTTGGCCAGGTTACAAATTGATTAACTTGGAATAAATCTAAAAAGAATTCATTCAACTGGTAATTGCTAATGATGAACAATTAAGCAGAAATAGCTGTGTACACTTTTCAATATGAACACTAAAAGAACAAAAATGACAAATCTAAAAAAATCCTCAATTTTTGTCCTTTGCTAAACTGAGAATAAAAGAACTAAAAAGTAAAATTTGTGACTAGAC